ATTAAACTCAGTTTGTCAAGTGAATATTACTACTTAATTGGAACTCTAAGAGAAATCATGTAAACCCTACTATGTAAATTAAAAATATTTACATAGTACGAAATGAATTATAAATTAAAAATTAGATACGAAATGAATTATAAGTGAAAAATTAGATACGAAATGAATTACAAGTTAATTTTTTTAAATGTAAAAAAAAATACAGTAGGATTTATTTTAACATTTTTTTCTTCAAGAATTATGTATTAAACTCAGTTTGTCAAGTGAATATTACTACGAAATTGGAACTGTAAGAGAAATCATGTAAACCCTACTATGCAAATTAAAAATATTTAGTTTGTATTTAAAATCTTATATCCACCATTTAAAACTGTTTTCCTTAAATCAGTTTGTTTACCGGTTAAAAGAACGCAACTTTTAATTTTATGTCTCACAAATTGATGAAAAATTTAGAGAAATAGTTGTTGACAGTAAGTTATAAGTAATTGTTATTAGTTTAATGAGTATAAGTGTTAGCTTTAAATGAAACTAAATCGAAAAATATATTATCATATGTTGTTCTTTTTCTTGTTTTAATTTTTAATATTATATATTTAGATGGAACAGAGTCTTTAAAAGCGCTTTTATTTGACCGATTGTACTGATTACATTTAAGGCTTTTTATTTAGTAATTTGTTGTAAAATTTCGTATTCACTTGCATTTCTCAGAACAATTGAAATAAAAATATTTTTTTTTGCATTAGTTTCATTATTATACTGTCTTTAAATATTACGTGCAGCAATCGAAATAATTATGATATGTTTTTCTCGGAAACGGATATTAAATCTGCGCAATATTAAAGTAACGCCTTTTGGGAATTGTGATTCTTCCTTTTTCTATAAACTTATCTGAAAGAGATATGCAAGAAAGCAAATATTTATTATTAAAAGAAGTTTGCTTTTAGCAAAATTATTATTAATTAATGTGGTGGAGATGATATTTTATTTCCCAAGGTATTAACTCAATTAATTTTATCTGTTCTGCTCTGAATAAGAACTAGTTTATACAAATTTATATTTGTTAGATAAATGAGTATAGTTATTGTTTATATAATAATGTTTTGATAAATAACTTAATTATATATCTTTTATTATTTTAACTTCCAGATCATAGATATAATACATTTGTAATTATGATTTTTATATTTAATTTGTATTTAATCAAAATTTAAACAAGATTCATTTAAAGTGAAAATGATAAAACATTATTTAAGCAGAAGTTTTATTCAGGTAGTAAATGCAAGTAATATCGCGCAAAAAACGTTTGTATTAAAAGAATAGCAAAGAAAAATGAGAAAATAGTTAAAATTAGTAGCGAATTTGAATAACATGTAACTGCAGAAAAGGTCATAATCTGGTCTGGTTTTGTGACCATAATTTTTTAACAAGTATTATTTTTGAAATTAACTGTTTCGCTAATCAAATACATGATAAATGATAATTTTTATTTTTCTTAGACTCAGAATAATCCCTTTAAAAGAATAAATTAGCAAAGTCTCTTTTTTTCTTTTTTTTTAGGAAGTTTTTTTTCAGTTTCTTGTAGTTTCTATTGTTGTTCTGTGTTGCTTATGGAAAGGAAATAAAATGCTATGTGGTCCTATGCCAGGTACACATATTGTTTTATAAAGACAACATAACTCAGCAATAATTGATAATGAAAATACTTTCATTTGCTCCAAAAGTACTTAAGTTGGAAAAACCTTTTTATTTTGAGTAATCAAAACAATTCACCTAATTCTAAGACCCACGAATCGAGAACTTATTTTACATCTGGTGGATCCTTAGAATAATCTCGCGAGGCACTCTTATATCGCTTTTAGAACTTATGATACAACTGAAGTCTTTATTTATTTATTTATTTCTTGTGATGTTAATTTTACCGTTAAACTTTCTTGGGGTAATTTTTCTTATAACTTCAATATAATATTCTAGGAGTCTTCGGGATGAAAAGAAACTGGTTTTTAGTCTTCCTGTTTAGCTTTTAAATATTTTATGTAGCCTATAAGTGATTCTGAAAAAAAAAAAGCCTTAGATAAATGGTCTGTAGCATCAATAATAAATCGTAAAATTAATAAAATAGCTACATCATTACAAATCGCATTTCAGAAAATATATTTAATGGAAAATATATTTATAATCTTATACATAACTTTCCGTCATATCAGCATTTAAAACATACTTATACTTAAAGAAATATTGTTTTCATGCAAGGAAACAGGTTTTGATTTTTAGAATTTCCCTTTTCTCAATAATGCTTCTCTAGATTTTGATTACGTATTTTCTCTGATTTGGGTCTTACAACTTTAATGTGTTTGCTGTTTGTATGTTTGATTTCTCACAGACTATAAAAACATATATTAAAGATGATCATTACAAAACACCTCACATGCTCAATTATAATCACAAAAGCTTAATTGCATGCAACATGTAATATTACATATTATATGGCAATCTTATTTTCATTTCCATGATTAGGTTTTATGTTTATGTTGTTAGCCTCAACAGATAATTAGGTTCTTTTATGTTACTATTATGTACACTCGCATTGAACTTCAAAGCATTCGCTAAGGGAATTAATTTATTAAAGAAATGTAACACCAAACACGAAACTAATGCCAAGTTAAACAATCCGTCCAATTCTGAAATTCCAGCTATTTCCAACAAATCGTCGGATTTACTTTCCCGTTCCCTTTTAAACAGTTGAAACATTATCTTCCGGCAAAGAACAGCAAAATAATATCTAAATGGAACAATCCTTTGCGATTCCAAACAAATCTTCTTCCAACAAATTTCCCCAGACTTACACATACAAACCCAACGGTTTTAAGCTATACTATTTACACTTCCTCTAATTGAAGTGCAGAACTCGTATTACAATTTTGAGGATAGAAAATGGTTTCTGATCCCTACCAGCATACCATAAAGACATTTCGCTTTTCTCATTTGTTTAATATTTATAACGACGCGTTTGAGGTAGGAAAGAAAAGGAAAATCAATGTTAAAACATACTTGGGTAATTTAAAGCACCATTTTCAAAGAAGGAATACTTCTACTTCTAATTTTTTTTAAATACTATCATAAAGCTTTTCAACAAATTGCCCATTATTAAAGCAAAACTATATTTTTGTACTTAAGTTTGAATTTTAAGGAAAATTTAAGGATATAACGATTTAATATTCTTTAAAATTAATCTTGATTAATAAAAGGGTAATTTGAGTAGTTAAAGACAAAATAATTCAACTGTATTCACTGTTAAGAGTTTTGGAAGCATCATGATATAGTTCAAATTTGCGACAATCTTAATTCTTTACTACGTCGACCTATATAACCATTCAAATTGACATTTTTTTAAAACTTGGTTTCATAATTTCATGATTTATTTGAATTGTTTACTTGAGTTCGTTTCATTAATTTATGTAGGTTTATTAATTTATAATTTTATTTTGCTTTTCGAGATGTCTAATTCATACTAATTCCATAATGTTTTCGAAATAAGCCACATTATCGAAGTTGCCAAAATAAATATAAGAATCTGTCTGTCTAAAGTAAATCTTAAACATCATTTTAATCAATGAATACAAAGTTAGATTCCATTTGCATTTTGTGAGTTAATTAATTTATAAAAAAAATTTACATATTTAAATTAATTCAATATATAATTTTGATGTTATAAATTTAAAAAAAACAATATAATTTGCATATACAAGTACATTTTACTTTGATTAATTTAAATTCGGAAAAAATAAGTTCATCTCTAAAAATCACATATTATTTTATAAACTAGGAATCTGCACGCATTAATCTCTGTGATTGTCCTTACTCATTGTCTTTCTGTCTTAAAAGCTGATATTTTTCAATAAGATAAAGATTATTTTCTTAACAAAACATATAATCATTACATATTTAGGTAAACTAGTTTTAGAAATACAGCAATCGTAAATGGAATGAACTGATATTTGCTTTTAAAAAAAAATCAATAGTACTTAAAAAAATAGTAAGAACAGAAATACAAACTGAGTGAAATAAGAAGAAATAGGTCAGTAACATTACTCGTTAACGAATTATAACGTAATTTTTCGTCTTTAGAACAGTTCTAAATGGAAATGATTTTTATTTCTATAAAACTAAATAGTTGAACTTTTTTTAAAAATTTCAAATTGCTTGCTTGTATGTATATTTGGCCACATCTAATCTATCTTTTTTCTTTGTTTTTTATTTTTTGGGACTCAAGTACGAGTTTATAAGATAAATGTACTATATAGAGATGTAAATAAAATTTCTAACAACATTATCCGAATAGTTATTCTTTAAAAAAAAGTGAAGAAAAAAACCCGAAAATAGCTTAATCGAAAAAGCATTAACATTGCAATAACTTTCGAACAATTTGAAACTTTGAAAAAAAAATCGTAATGCATTCGTCATTTTAAAAAGCTTTGCCAACAAGTCATATTTCAGCGTTGTAGTTTTAATTTTGCAACTGTCGAGAGTCTTGCTTGTGATTTCCTACAAAACGTTTAAAAGTTCTTTAAAAGATTCTTGAGCTAATTATCAATCGATTTTTATTTTTAGTTTCATCTTATCCCAGTACATTCAATATACACCTTCGTATTTTTATGTTTCTAAATCCTATTGTTTTTGCACAACAAATACAACGTTAAGTTGAATACTCAAAACAGCAGCTGTGGAGTCAGTTATGATTTTATTCTAGTAGATTAAAAAAAATATTGTTTATTATCATTTTGTTTCCATGAAAATTTTGAATTCTTCTAAGATTTATCCCATATCTAAACAATTTCGTGAAAATTATATTACTAATACTTCCGTAAAATACATGAATCATTGGTGTAGATTCGTTAGTAATTATCCAAAAGTTGAATCTGAGGCAAAATAATGTTCATTTCTTGATTATAATGCCAGTGTTTTTTTGTATTAGTAAATACTCAATTAATGACCATAAAGCATAATTATATAAACCATATTTTATTATTGTAAACAGATAAACATATATACCAATCTGTCGTTTAAAAAATTATTTTAAACAGTTGTTATGCTCCAACCTTTTTTGGCTTGTTGAGAATTGGGATCCATTTCAGTGTTTGTAGAATCTTTTTCCCCACCTGGCACAATCGGAGTTGCAACTTGAAGTCCAAGGGCATCCTTCTTTTTTTGAGTTGGATCAGTAGCTACAATAGGCTCATCTCCAATATCAGGAATTTTGAGGATCACAGGTTTTTTAGTGACTGAAATCTTATGTGAGGGGGATTTTTCCTGAGAGGATAATTTATTGGGATCTTGAGTTTCGGAGCTAGTGACATAGGCAAAATCCTTCTTTTCAGTGACCTTCCCATTGTTCAACTCAATGTAAGAGCTTTGAAAACCCGCAGATGATGGATTGGGGTGAAATGTGGAATATGAGCTAGTCCTCAGCGATTCACTGGCTAAGGGACATTGATCAGGACCTGTAATTTTTTTGGTACTGATAATGCACTGTTCACCGATGTCACCACTACCTACAAAGGTGGTCAAGCAGGGATTCATTAAAACTTGCTGACTTGATGTATTGATTGCAAAATATGCTTGCTTTGTTGGCTCGAGTATATCTGGAGGTGTATCTTTCATGATTCCCAACTCATAAAACTGTTTTTGACTCTCTTGGCCATCAGGTTCCATTTCTTGAACGTCTTTGATATGGAATTGGCTACTTCGAGGGCTATCATCCAGTTGCTGTAGCTCAAATGCTGGTGAGAGAGGATCATCAGGAGCATTTTTTGCTACCCAAAGAGGATCGTTAGGATCGATATTGGCATCAATCAACTCTGTCGCTGTTACATCTTTCGATTTGGATACAATGAGTGGAGATCTCTGTTGATGGACTGTGAAATCACGCACTATGGATGCGGCGGCAGATTTCTCAACCAGCAGATGATCCACTTCTTTCCACTCGATATCTTCAGAGCCCATCTGAAAGCGCAGTTTCCTCAGTTTTTCCATCCGCACATCTACTTCAATTGTGTCTGGCATTTTGCTGCAGAATGAGTCACTCACAATTTCCGGTTTCAAGAAACCTATTTTTTGAAAAAATTAAAATGTTTTATTAGTTTCTACGAGCATACTTTTATAAATAATAGAATGAATGAAATTATTTTCAAAACAAAATCACGATGTTATTTCGAACTCAACTCAGCAATAATCTCTACAAAATACTAATTAGGGAATCTCAAAAGTAGAAAATCAGCAAAGAATATTTTTCTGCAATGTAGATACTTATTGCACATGATTGCTCACAATTTCAATAATAGATTCAATTTTTTCTCAGTTAATATGGTTTGATTTATATGAAGGGAGCAATGTTTTCGATAAGATTGTAGGAACAACCCAAAATTACATAGCATTGAAGAGCTGAAAAAACAGTTCTAACGAGATAGGAGAATTTTAAGGGATATCTCGTAGGTGTTAGGATGGAAAATATGAATTCTTCCTGATCTTCAATCTACATTTATCGATCATAAGTGCATAATATATACGTTCGAAAATAATGCTGAAAAAAACATTTAAGTACAGATATTTTTAATCAAAATGAACTACGTTTATTAAAAGCAATTATGATTTTTAATTTTTGTGATTTTTTTCCTCGTAACACAGATTACTTAAGCTATATAACTATAAATTAGTGACGAAATTTATTATCTACTGTAATGAAGAAATATGATTATAAGAATTAGTGACAAACTTTTATAGTGATGTGAAAAGTCGGTCAAAAAATACAAGATATTTGGAATAACTTATGAGAAATAACTAACAGGAATTTATTGTTTCAGACAAAAAGTTGTAAATAAAATCATAGCAAAAATCATTAATTAAAACTTACAGACAAAATCATCTCGGAGGAAAAATTTAAACTTTTAGTTTTAAAAATTTATTTTTAAAAACTTAATACAAATTGTCCATTGTTACTGACAGTTATTAAAATATCTCAGATAATTTTAGTATCAATGTTATATGAAAGGAATTTAAATAAATTTGATTCTAAAGCTTTCACAAAACGTTAAGAAAAACAATTAAAATAAGTTAAATAACCATAAAACGACGGTATTCACATGTTAACTATGATAAAAATAACTTTTTGACAATTTTCTTCCGATACAGTTAAACAACCAATTCTTTATCCGTGCTAATTAGATTCAAAGCCAATGAGAATGGAGCACAAGTTCTTCAAAATCTTCAAGTTAAGCAAAGTTATGAGGATTACGAGTTAATTTTTTTTCTCCATCATCGGATGCCGAAATAGTCTTATAGTAATAAGTAACCTAATGAAACCATTTAGTTCCTTGCAGATGGGTATATATTTAAAACGAGAGGGATAATCTTTACGCATCATGACTCGCTGATCGGTGCTTCACATTATAGTTTTTAACAACACAATATTTCCCCAATTCCTTCAAAATATGAGTTTTCAGATTAGATCACTCCTAAATTGATGACTCTGGAATTACGAAACTCTCTTTCATACATAGCTGAAAGCACCACCGGGCTGGTTAACAAGAAAAAGTCTAGTATTTCCCCTCTCTCATAATGGATAGTGCCACTAGATAAACTATTGTAATTAAGACATATTCTGTGGTTTACTTGACAAAACATCAATCAACTACAACCTGACACCAATGGACATTACCAATTGAACAGCCTAACATTACCTAACTCCAATCAAATAATATTTTCATGATTTTGAAACCATGCTTGTCGTTAATGTNAAATTGTCGATGAAATGAACCAGACCCCTAGATAAACTATTGTAATTCTATGGTTCACTTGACAAAACATTAATCAACTACAACCTAACACCAATGGACATTACCAATTGAACAGCCTAACATTACCTAACTCCAATCAAATAATATTTTCATGATTTTGAAACCATGCTTGTCGTTAATGTTTATAAGCCCGTATAGTTTTAGATCCACGTTTTTTTTTCCACATCAGTTGTAAATGGTTTCATACCGTTAAGGTTAAAAAATGTTTCTAATCGTAAACTTTACTATTACTTAGATGGGCAGAATGATATCAGTTATTGTACTCCAACTGTGTGGAAATCTAGCCTTAAAATTAAATAGGTATTAATTTAAATGCATCTTACTTTGAAATGAACCCGCTCTGCCCTTCAATCTTGGTTCCTGAAAAGAAATTACAATAAAAAGCATTCTATGCTTCATTAAAAAATAACTAGAAAAAAAAAACATTTGTCAAGAGCCTGCCATAATATTATTAATTATGTATACTTATGTATAGTCGACAAAAAAACAAATATTGTAATAACTTTTGATTTAATGATTGAATTTTCAATTCAGATATACACTTGGCTCGAGGAGCGAACCATAAAACCATAACCATAGATTTGCTGCAAAACTTCTGCAGACGTTATTTATTACAAAATCAGGCTCTGATGACGTGCTTTCGATAAATAATAATTTTTCGAGGGGTTTGAATTTTTGACTCTCAAAATATGAGGGAATTTTGCAACCATAATCTAGAAAATATGGTCCAAGACTTTGAAATAGGAAAGTGGTCGGAAGTTAAGCGATTAAAATGATTTTACATTCTTTCGAAATACTGATATTTCTTATTTCTATTACGTAGCTTTCGAGCCATGAACTATGTAGTATTTACGCCATTATATTTTTTTTTAAATGTAATGTTTTATTAATAAAATGAAAGACATGTATCAAAAATAAGATGTTTTGCATTAATTAATTAAAAAACAATTTATTTTTGGATTTAAAAGAAAGCACTTATTGACTTAATTTACTTCAGAAGGAAATCGGAAGGAAAATCTGTATAATACTTCTTTTAATATCTTCTATCCTACATAAAATATTGAAGTTTTGAAAGATTTGATGGCATCATTTATAACTCGGATGCATTTATTATTTTTATTGTGTACTTTTATTCTATAATTTTCACACTAACGAGCATACATTATAAGTTAAACACCTGTTTCTAGATAGTATATTAACATGACAAAATTTTGTAAGTGTGCTTCAAATAATTAGATTTGATCACTTTTTAATCCTTATTTCTTTAATTTTTAATCAAAATTGTTAACCGTGAGTGTTATCAAATATTTTTTTAAAAATTAAATTAAAGAAAAAAATTAACTTAAATAAAATGAAGCATGTAATAGTTTCAATATATGAGTAACCTCGTGTGTAAGGCTTAGTGGAAACTACTTATACCGTGGATATATATTTTATCTTAAACTTATTGCAAGACCATACGTAATTTTTTTATTAGTTGTAATTAGTTAAAGTGTGTCTATCACTCCTGTGTAATAAAGGTCATTATTAGTTAAATAATTACTAAGCCATTCTGACAAATGTAATGAAATATTTAGAACATATTATCTATATTTACCTGTTTTTCATCTTCATCTTCAATCGAATTACCAGATGAGCATAATGAATGAGCCTAAATAAAAGAAAATGCAGCTTTATTCAATACTAGAAAAAAACTTTAAACCTTTTTCTTTTTTTAAATCTCATTCCCATCCATGCAGCAAAACATGAAATGCAGCAAAATATTCAAATGTGGTGAGTTTAGCTCGAAGAATATTTAAGGATACAAAAACGGATGGGCAAAAATTAGATATCAGTGCATTAGATAAAATACAATGTAAAAAATTTCCAGTACAAATTACTGGCACCATGTTTTCATCATCATCCGTAAAATCCATGTTTACCGCAGAATTTTGTTTAGCAGTAATAATTATTTAACTACAATGAAACACCGATTTTATAATAAATATTACTGTAAAAATGAAGGTGCATCAGATATTTTGCTGAGTGAAATTTTTCTGTAAAAATGGATTTTATTATGGTAAAAAGTAAAGTATTTTTCCTCAAAATGAACCGGAAACTCGTATTTTCATTTTTACCGTATTTTCATTTGGAATTTTTTACAGTGTATTTGACACCCTTAGGAAACTCATGGGAAACATAATTAAATACCATACCTCTGAACCTTCTCGATGCTGTTATTTTGCAAGTATGTCGCCTTGAGTTTAAATCATTTATTAAGAATTCGATTGATTGGATTGATTGGATTGACATGGTGAATTGTGTAATGCTGATTTCGGAAGCTTTGACTGTTGCTTCAATATTTTTAGAGCATTCTCATTGAGGCTTATGTCATTTGAATTTTCAGATCTAACGAGGTCCAAATGGGATGTGTGAGCATTCGTGATACCCAGTCATATGTCCTTCCCTGCCCTATATATTTATTTTACTGTTATCATCTAAAAAGTTAACAACGGCATATCATTCCTCATCATTATGACGTTATTGACAGAAAGGCAATACCTAATAATACGATATGCTAAATTAAATATCCTGGTTTATTTTTGTAGCTGCCTCAGTAAGCTGCACCAATCCTCATAGAATAAAGGAATATGATAAAAGGAAAAGCAGGGTATTATGTTTTTTTTTTCTATTATTTTTTATGATTCCTATAGGCTGGCTAATTATTTGTTCCATGATTTCATTTCACAGACATATATTGGTGAAAAATATAAAAATTTAGAAGTATAAATTATTTGAAGAAATTTAATTGTTAAAATGAATTTTAAAAAATTACGCTGACATACGCCCACTCTTACAGTTAATATCTGTAGCGTTCCATAAAGCTGAATGTTTATAGTAAAAGTATTTTAAGCAATTTTAAAAAAATGTCTTGATATACAGATATCTTCGAAGTAAAGCAATAAAAACAGGGTAAAACAATCTTGTTCGCAAAATACAGTTGGTAAAAAAGTAAATTATTTTAATTATAATGTAAAACGTACGTTTTCACTGCAAATTGTATAGCAAAGGAAGACCATAAGACCCTGGAATAGAGAAAACAAAAGGGTTAATGAAAGATTAAACAAAGTGAAGTTTATTTCAAATTTGTCATTTTATATAAATAAATATGTAGAAAAATATCAATGAAATATTTTATCAGCTCACCAAAACTCCAGAAGCGGAAGAAAAAATAAATTTATAAAGTTCATCATCAAAATTGATATACATGAAGCTAGAGGCCGACACCATCAGTAGGAATAATATGATAATTAAAGATCTGTTGAGCAAACGGGACCTAAAAAACAATAAAAACCACTCGCTCATGTAAAACAGACAACTTTTAAAAGATATTGTTTGAAAAAATATTATGATTGTTAGAAGAATGAAAATATTATATTTAACTATGCAATTATTTATGATGTCAAATCAGCCAATTTTACAGACCTCAGTGGATGAATAAACGAAGTTTGATTGAGTAATTTTGGATAAAATAAAAAAAATCCAAATATATTTCGATCAAACTGTCAAGACATCAGCTTAGAATTTCTCTCCTGACGGTCGCAAATTAAATTGCAAAAACGGCAAACGCTACGACGCGAACAGTGTAAATGTGATTTAGAGTCTTATTGATTCCACTAATTGTAAGCTATAAAAGTGAAAGAGAAAAAAAACGCAATCTTTAATTTTTATTATCAACGGATACATTTCAATGATAATTTACCTAAATTCATACAAAAAAATAATTTAGAATCTTTATCCACTCAGATTATCAACTATGTAAAAAGAGTAGTTAAAGTTAATATAATGGATATTTTATGTATTAGCAATTATCTATCAGCAGTTTCAATCTATTTTATTAGATCCGGAAAGAATAACAGAATTTTAATATATTTCTACGTAATTCAAATTCACGGAAATATTTTCAAAATAACTATTTAGATGTATTCATAAATTTGTTATACATTCCTGTATGTAACCAAGCTGAAATTTGAAAACGAGTTTCCCTCTTGTACAAAGTCTATCTTCTATCAACAGGTACAAAGTTTTAAGATATAATTGATCAAAAAAATATAACCGTATGGTAAGGAACTTAAATGTATTGATGGAAAAAAACTAATCTAAAGTAAAAAAAAATATATATATCACGAAAATTAGGTTGTAGGCAAAAACTGATTGAAGAGAAATCTAAAAATAGTCTGTTTACCTGTTAACAGTTTTTGAATGTTTTGTGGGCTCCAATTTTCTATACATTTTAAGCTCTGTTTTCACCGTCATCACTAACATGATTTGTAACTGAAAATAAATAAATAATATGAAGTTCAGTAAATTAATTAATTAGACCACTTTATAATAACGCAATTTACGAGTAAAGTTAAATATGCACATGCAAAGTACAAGAAAATAATTATGCATATAACCAAGAGTTTAGTGAAAATAATAAGAAAATTGACGTAATATATCATTTTTTTTTGTCAAACTAATGTATTTGAAAAAGACTGGCCATATAGAATCAATGAATACAAATGGAAAGCTTACACAAAAATACAATTTATGAAAAAACACCTTTTTACTTACCACTGTAATTATAATGACAGATATGGAATAAGCATAAAAATAATTTGTCTCCAGTTGAATCCACCAGCTAAAAACATAATTGCGCATTTAAAGATGAGTTTTTTACATAAAAAATATTTTAAATCATTTGAAAAAAAATTACTAATTGGAAATGTACTGCAATAATGTATGTACCTATTTAATCTAAATCCCTCGGGAACCTGAGCTGCAAGAGTGGCTCCAACAACTATCATCGGAATGGCTAAAATTAAAGTAAAATAATTAGGACAAATCTACTTAAATGACAGAATTAAAAATAAAACATAGCATATTTATTTTATAGTCATGGCTTTTGCTAAATTTATAGTAGCATATTTATTTTTGCTGAATTTTAATTTGAAGATTCGATTAGTTGAGATAGCTCTCATCACATTTTGCACAGAGTAATAAGTAATTTTATGTAGGAACTATAATACTCTCTGAAGTGAAACTCTCACATATGGAGATTCAGCAATCCTGGAGCTTTATTTATTTCATTGGAAGCGATATTTAATTTGGAGAATATTTTCGTCACGAAATCACGTGATTTGTAGCAAAACGCGAACTCTCAAATATATGACGAATACGTTTCCTAAATTCTAAACCTTGTAGGGGCAGAGTTATCGACCATGCCAATCTTCATCTATCAAAAGGTACCCCGTGATTGAATCAAGTTAGCATGTATTATATACCAGTGAATTGATGTTTAATAATCGTAATGGTAGTTACGCCACACTACTCCCACACCAGAATTTTATCAGGGATAGAATTTGATGAACGGTTTCCACTTAATTGCTGTACTTGTGAATAGGACTGGGCTATAAATCGATGTATCGAGACATATCGATTTAACGCATATATCGGCAAGACGATACAGCGACTTTCATTCAAGGCGATGCATCAGAAATCTGATTTAACGAGCGCAAAACGATATAGCGATATAAGACACGCAAGGATATAGGATAACGATATAGCGATATAAGACTCTTCTCTTACGTTCCGATGTCGACTCGCGCTGTGGAAGACGATGTTCGTTTCGTTATGTTGAAATGGCCTTGATTGGTGAGTTGTAGAATCAGAATCAGAGTTTTGAGAACACATATCGTTATACCGCATGTTCCTTTTCGCATCTCTTAGCTTTTTTTTTCTTGTCGCGACTTTTCTTGTAGATTATTTTCAGTGGGACTAACTTCGTGATCGCCGATGTTACCTTGTTCTGAAGGCAATCTATTATTGAAAAGAATATATAAAGAAGAGTTTCTTCATTAATAAAATAAGTTTTTTTTTAAAAAAACTTCTTTTTATTTTTAAATGTGAAAATTATCGGCAATCTAATTTAGGCGCCCATAAAGAATTGAATTTGTTAGGTTATTTTTTTACTTTCTTTTAATTTATTAAAAACTTTTTGGATGAAACTTCTAATAATTTAATGAGTTTTTATTACTGATTTTAAATTTATAAATCTTGTTGTTTTTATTTTTAGAAATAAAGTTAAAACAAAATTTATTTTTGTCATTTGGATTTGGACATAAGTCAATCAACTTTGTTTATACAAAAAAATTTGAAAGGTTTGCGTATTTTATTCATTTTTTAAAAATCATTTAGCACTTCGTTTTATTAGAGAGTATAATAAATTTTTTTTTAAAACTATTCCTGTCATATTATTTGTTAATTAGCTAAATATATTATCGAATATCACTTTTTTTTATTTTTAAGAAATTAAATCTTACTTTGTTTTTCGTTCATAATTCGGTCATTATTTAATTTAATTTATTATTTATCTGAAACGATAAGGTCCCGCAGTGGACTGATCGTAAAGACACGGTTCCCTGCAGATCACCGAAGTCAAGCTGCGGTCAGTGTGCGGGTGAGTGACCACTTGGATCAGTCTGCGTAGGGACCGAGGGTGTGCGGNCAAGTTAGCATGTGTTATATACCAGTGAATTGATGTTTAATAATCGTAGTGGTAGTTACGCCACAACCTCATAGTTTCTTTATTAGGATGACGAAAATAGAACAATAACTAGGCAATTGAAAATAAGGTGACGAAACAAACCGACTGGAATATGGGAAGTCAACGCTTCCTAGCAGAAAGATCTCGGGATCGAATCCCGCTTTGAACTTATTGGGTGTAATTTTTCTCTCTGTTCTGTTTGTCCATCTTGTGTCGATAGTGTGACATTGATCCGCCTAAATGGTGCCCAAGATAAAATGATAATTAGAAAAGTTATTTTTAGGCACTTCAAATTTCATTTCATCTTTTTTTTTTGCAAAAAATAGAATGACGAAATATTTCCTTAATTTTGTTGAAATTCATTTCCGAAATTCAATAACGGCGAAAGTGATATTTGATTGTCCATTACATTATAATATTAGTTATTAATGCAACATTTTTAATTAACATTAAAATATGCAAGTTGTGGGAAATTTCCCTTCTTACCCCAACCCATAGTTGCAAGTTTGAGCTCAGGATAGCGCACTCCTTTCATTTCGACGAATTCCATGTAGACTGTAAGGCCAATACATAGTTGCATAGAGAAAGCAGCAAGCAAGAAAAACTGAATCAGGGAAATGACGTATGGGTAGTAGTCCTGAAAAGATATAATTAATTCGTTGAAAATAATACCTTTAATAGTAATGAATTTTACAATCTCTTTTCAAATAAATGGATTAATTTTCTAAATTTTGCAACACTCATTCGATAACATTTCTTAACGTTCCGTTTAGAAATGGAAAAAAAAACCTCATGACCGCATTAAAAATATAATGTTAATAGATTGATAAGGAAAAGTGTAGAATAATAATATTTTTATTTGGTAAAAAATGACTTTGAAGTGTCCAATTTCATTGCGGAATAACACGAACAAACCTTTTATGACTTTTGAAATGCTTCTAAGTTCATATATAAATCTCCAGTCATCTTTCTTAACTCAATCAAAAAATATCCATATTTTGTGACACATTCGTATAGATAAAATAAGTCAGGTAGCTGAAAAATCATATAAAAAACTTTTTTTTTCTTCAATTTTAAGACGAAAATAAAGTTTTCTGAGCCCAATACGATATTCTCTAAAGTTTTATTTTCCCTAAATATTGGGCCTTGTCATAGAATTTTAAACTTTCATGACAAAAATGGCTGTTAGCAATTCACATAGAAGTATTTATTAGTAATTTTTAAATCTATTATACCTTTAATTTATTCTAAAACATATTGTGATAAAACTAAAACAAATAATAAAAATGAAATAATTTTACCTTAGACAAAGATTCATGAAGAGCTTTGAGAAATGTACCGTAGGCACCTATTAGTGCTATACAGACTTGTAATTTCAATGCTGTTATAGCACCGCGAATTTTTCTGGAAGAAATAAGAATGTTGAGAATTAATTCAAAATTTCATAGTAGAAAACATTCAGTATCAATAGAAGAAATTATAAATAATAAAACCCTACTTCCATAATACTAGAAGGATGAAAAACGTTAGGAAAACGAAGAAGGCACATAATGCACAGCCAATTCCAGCGATTACTTCGAAGCCATCCTGGAACTGCAAATCATCCTGTAAAAAAATATTATTTTAATTGCAATTTAATACTATATTTCCCCTTGGAGCACTCTTTCAAAGTTTATTTCACCAGTTACTTCATTGTTTGCTATCAGGAGAGCTTTGTCAGTAAAATCACTTCAGTACAGTAATTAAAAAAAATATTTTTCAATTAAAGTCTATTACTGACGAGGGTCAATAAAATTTTGAAGGTTAAATATTGTATGTATGTTTAGTTAGCAATTAATAAGAGCACAATTGTATTTTTCGTGATATAAGTACAAGGAAAAGAAAATTCTTGAAAAATTACCGTGTGTGGTATTGACAATTTTGTTTATATTTAATTGTGGAAATAAACCCAAAATATGCTGCATTAAACCATTCTTCTGTCAAATCTTTCATTCATATAGTAACGGTTTGCAGGAAATTCTGACTTCCAAATTAAAGTTCTCCTTACCACACGTTTAATTAAAAACACATTCCTGGAAAATAAATTTAACCGAATAAATGGATTTTATTCCATACTATAATCATGAAAAAATTACCAAATTCTATCACACATCATAAAACCAAATTGTATTTTTAGTTCTCCCAAAATCATTATTAAAGAGCTTTGGTAAAAAGTACCGAGCTTTTTGCGTTCCCAAAGTGTCAGAAAGAGCTAGCACGGTAAATTTTACCACAATCTGGTAGTTTTAACTATTTGTTTTTCAGTGTAACACTGTAGTTACATTTTTATTGGCGAATTTGTGCTTGGGAGAGCATTCTTCAAGATTTTAACAGTTACTACATTATTTGTGATCAGGAAAGCTTTGTTTTAAAAATCTTTCGCTCATATTTTCAGAAATAAAAAAAGATCTTTTAATTATTTTTGCAATCAAATTGTTTGAAAAAAATTATTATTATTTTAATATTAAACATGCAATTTTATTTTTTACAGCTTATTGTGTTGGTAATTATCAAATTGTATTTCTGAAGTAAAGTAATGGGGAGCGTTTTTACATAATTGGATTTTTTCTATACAAACATTATATTTTATTACGATTGGAGATTTATTACTTTTATTTTAAAGGATAGGAATGCATATGAAGTTAACAGAACAGAGTAATTAAGGAGCTTTCCTTTATAATTTGATTTATAATTAATAAGGCTTAACACTGAATTTCAGTTTGAAATTTATTTATTATTTATTTTTTATGTTAAAAATGACTTACTGGCTGTGCATAAGTAGTGAGCAGAACTGCATATGTTCCTACATGATTGCATTGGCAAAGTGAATAATTTCCAGTTTGAATTGGCTGACAACCTTCCATTGAAAATTGAACATTTCTGAAAAATATAAAGATTCTGGTATACCATTATAAAAAGTATGTATTTCTCAAAATAAAGATTAAAACTTATTAATTATCTTTAAACACAATGGATTCTTTGAGATGAATTACTTTACTTGCGGCAAAGACATCGTTCATTGCAAACATTAAAAGACTAAGCAAATGTCCTTAGAATTGCAATACCGTTTGAACTTAATAAGTTTAATAAATCTAGAAATCTAAATTTCAAATGTGATAAATCCTTTTGGAGTAATTTAAAATTTGCCCGGAATTTGGAAAAACAGACTCAAACTAAGTTTTTCTACCTAGTGGTGCCTAAAAGTAATTGTATCAGTAAAGCATAATTTCCTACAGCTTTAAGAATATTTTAAATTTAGCATTTAATTGCTTCGCAGTTTTCATTAAATATAGAAGTAAAAAGCACAATTCGACAATTCAGCGTATCAAACTGCCTTTGCCCATACATAATTTCTTTTTGGGTGCTATTTATTTAGTTACTTACTTATTGATGAAAATTATTAATTATTTTTTTTTAAATATTCAATTTATACACATTGAAAATATAAAACAGAGGTGCTAGAAAAAATCCTAATTTCGTTTAATGCAGTTGGAAATCGATCGGAAGATTTATTCAAAACGGAGTATTGAGTTTGAAAAAGTAGTATTTACAAAATTTCTAATTATCCTTACTAACTTACTTAAGTTTTATTAATGCATAATTTTTTGTAACTATAAATAAAGAAAAAAACTTAAGATGCTGGTACAAGTGTCGAATAAACGAATGATTAAAAAAACAAAAAATTTTGTCAAATTCATTGCATTTTGAAACTAATAATCTGCCCGTCAATTTTGTAATAAAGGTTACAAAAAAAATTATGCTTTACCATTCTTTATGGTATTATGAATTCTCGAATGGAAAGTTAATTTTCATGAAATTTTATAAATTATATTTTAATTTAAAAAATTAAGTTTATAAATTACTAGTTTAAATTTATTTTATTAAAATTATATGTTTTTTTAAATTTCTTAAATTGAAAATTGTAATACTGCTCTTTTTACTACACAGTAAAATATGCCAAATCACACCGAAAATATTAAAATTTAATTACGTAAATAATACTTCTGAATTTTTATTTGTTTTACTAAACTCAGTAAAATGATTTTATTGCTTTATTTCTTTTTAGAAATTAAACGAAATTTCAATAAAGCTTTTTTTTAATTTTTTCTAAACATCTCATAAACATCTGTATCACCACAGCAATTATCAAAACTTAATTATGTAAGTAATGTTTATTAATTTTAATTCATTTCACTGGAATAAAAAAAATTCCGTTTTTAATAGTTTTTAGGGGAAAAAATTAATTGAAATACAGTTACCCTTACCCCTGAGAAAAATCTGCAACACCACAGGAAATATTCCACATAATTTGTCGATTCTGAAAAAAGTAAATGAATTTTTAGCATATTATGATCTAATTCAATTAACATTTTTAAAAAAATAATTAGCATCTTATGATATATTTTAATTTAATTTTAACATATTGTAATAGTTTTTAATATATTTTGAAACTTTTCCCTCGTATGAAAGATGCAACAATTTATATTAAATAGAATGGTTTCTCAAAAGTATGGAAACTCTCAAATATCTTGAAAAATGCGCATAGAATCAAAGAGCTGAAAATACGCAATAATATTTTAAGTAATATGTTCGGTAATATTTTAATAATATCCATATAATGATACCAAACTGTACCGCTTCAATGGGTATAAAATTTAAAATCAGACGTATAATCCATATTTTTTCGTTCTGGTGTGTATTTCGCGGTGTATCTCAACATTTTTCGAAATTTCGCGGAAAAAATGGTTAAACAACAATAAGTTTAATTGTTATTTTACTATATTCAAGCAAAGAGTCATGGTGGCTCAGAGGATCAAGCTTTCGCCTTTCAATGAGATGAACCGGAAACGAATTCCTGCGTTGGCTGGCCGATACGAATTCCGCATCTGACTCGCACCTACCACAGTGCTGACGTTAAATACCATCAGTGGTAGATGGATCATGGGTTAGAGTGACCTTCCCGTCAGGCTAAGCACGGGAGGATTTTGTGATATTCCTCTCCATGTAACGTAAATGCGGGTTATTTCCATCGAAAAGTCTTCTACGAAGGCAAATTTCTCTCAATACTTGATCCAAGGCTTCCCTTGTCTAGTTGATTGGTTTTAAAATTACAAATCTGCGGGGTTGAACATTAGAAGTCATAAACCAAATATTGAGTAGGCTGTTAAACGACGATTTTAAAATAAAATATATTCAAACAAAACAATCAAATAACCATAAATACGATGGTATTCAAACTGTCAAGTGTGAGGAAAACCGCTAATTAACTGCTTTCTCGCTTAGTTACTAATTAACTGCTATCAAGCCACTTAGTTACTCGCCTCTAGGTACCGAGAAGGCTAATCTGCCAATCTCAAGACCAACAGAACGGGAGCTCGAGTGTCAGCATTTACGACAGTGTATACTCTTGATAAACCACAACCTATCTCCAAAGCCCATTACCTATTACCTAACGAAAAGCATAACTCTAATGAGCGATTAAAGTTTTTATAGTTTTCAAGCCATGCTAGTTGTAAATGGTTAAAAAAAGTACAGTTTTGTTTACATAGTTTCTTAACCATACTAATTGTAAACGGTTTAAAAACCGCAAAGGTAAGAATGTTCTTTACCGTAAACGTTACGGTTAATTGAATGAACAGACTACTACCGGTTATTCTGCTATAATTTTAGAATGAAACTTCCAACAGTAATTTCATTTTTGTAAACTAGTGTGTCAACTGTAAAGTAACAAAGGTCATAGGCAGAATGGAATAAAGATGAAACCAGAGTGCTTTTCTCGGGAGAATCAAATTTTCAAAGAAACGCGAAAAAAATAGGGTTTCTTCTATCAGATCTTGAAAGTTTATTCCCTGTTCCACCCGCAGTGTGTGATATTGTGGGTAGAGTTTGGTATCATAAAATTGATACTTTAAAAATATATTTCCTTTTTATATGATAAGTCGTTTTCTTCGATGCGTATTTCCTGAGATATCAGACCCTTTTCCTATGAAACCTTTGTATGGGCACTTTTCGTTCCTTTATAAGTACATAAATTTTCAAAATTACATTATTTAAATCACAAAATAAAAATGGAAGACTGTATCTGATGTAACAAATTGTAATTGATAATAAGTGAAATTTAGCAAACATTACATTGTTATAATTTCCATTCTAAAATTATACCAAAATAACCACCAGCAGTTTGTCCATCCAATTAACCCTAAAGTTTACGGTAAAGAACTTTTTTTACTTTCATGGTTTTGAAATCGTTTTCAACTAGTATGGTTATGAAATCACGAATACGAAACTCTATAGCTTTTTAACCAATTTCAACTGGCATAGTTTCATAACCGTAAAAAAGAAATTTAGCTTGACATTGGGGATTGGAGTTAGGTTGGAATTTATCAAAAAGAAATATTGTGGTGTCAATGTTTAGACTCAAATGCCTGTTCTTTCATTTTTAAAACTAGGAGATTAGCCCTCTTGGCTATAATATGTACGCAACTATGAGTGGCTGTATTAGGTAGGCTTAGTTAGTATGATAGAATTCTGGTTGCTTTACCGCATTAGGTGAAAGCTAATAAATGGTTTTTCTCACAGTTAACAGTTTGAATATCATCTTATTTATGGTAAATTGACTTTTTTGAATATGGTAAAAAATAACAATTAAATAAATTGTTATTTAACCATTTTTTTCCAAACAAATTCTGCCAATTTAACTGCGATGATAACAAATGTTGATAACTTAAACAATTAATAGTTTTATTTTGGAATTGAAACAGTGTTTCATCCATAATGATTTTAAATATATACTCTTATCACTGATTAGCTACAATTTGTAATTGGAGGCATTTAAACTAACTAATTTTACATAGAACAGTTACTTTAATAAAATTAAGATAAACTCAGACATTCGAGAATGTTATAAAGAAAAACTAACCACAGTGTGATTCAAATGTGCAAGACGAGCTTTAACTTTGAGACGAGATGCTCGTGAGCCAACTCTCCTTTGACCAGTTTGCATTGCCACGGCTACAATTCTAGAGTGCAACTGATATTCCATGTCAAGACCTCTGTGCAAAATAGAGCCATACCCATATCTGAATCGATGAAGAAAGAAACAATAAAAGTAGATTTTACACCAAGATATACTAAATCAAACTATGTTTTCCGTGGTAGTTCGCATTGTGATTTAGTTCTAACGTACATCATACTTTATTTTAACACTTCTTAACATTTTAACGAATGCAGAGGTTCCACTTTTAATTTAAACCCTTCAATTTTAAAGTAAAAACACAATTAATTGAATTAGAGTTAAGTTGGATTGGAAGAATGAAATAAAGTAGAAATCAACATCTGAACCTTACTATTCCTGGTTAGAAAGTAATTTTTCGCTTATTACTGCTTATCTGATTAGTATATCTAAGGTTGCTGATGATACGTTTTCATTGTTGTTTACACTTTTTTTTAACATTACTAACTTGTTTTTGATTTTGCTTATTTTGTTAGCTGATTTCAGCTTATAGTCATGGATGTGGATTAAAACTTATTATGATCCATTTGACTTTTATTCATTTGGTTCTGATAGATTTAAAGAAAAAATTCATAAAAGAAGATTATGCAATCAATCATCAATTTGTGAATTATTAAATACAATATAGAAAAATTTCTTATACAAAAATATAAATGTAAAAAAAAGCATTTTTTTAAAAAATAAATAAATTTGCAATTGATTTTTTTTTGCATCAAAAACTAAATATTATGAAAATAGTACTATCAGAAAACTGGGTGGAAATATATACTTTAAAAATAACTTCATTAAGAGAAGAAAAAAAAGTTGACAAGTGTTATGAACGCTCTGACACGGCACTCAGGGTCTAAACCAGTAAAACACGAATGTAGAAGAAATAACTTTTAGAATATTTCCGAATTTCAATCATGTCGACTTTTTCACGTTTTTTTTTAATGAAATTAATGAAGTTTTTGTTATCGAAATTTCAGTAGTATTATATTCATATATAGTTATAATATTTGTTTAAAATTTCTTCTAATTAACAATATTTTATTTCTTCTTATATGTATAAATGCTGGAACAAAATATTTTTTAACGTGCTATATCATAATTAGTATAAACAATAATGTCATTAAAATAAAGTTAATATTCTTACTTACCCATATTGTGCCAAAAATCTTTGAGGTAAAAAAGCTGAGAAATTTTTGTAAAATACAACTGCCATGCTGATAGAATCATTTACTGGAAAAAATAACAAGAAACGCATACTTAATCAGCAAATAAATATTTAAGACTTGTGTTGACAAAAAAAGAGTATATTTAAAAGTCTACAAAGATTATAAAATTGTATCAATATAATATTGGTATTCACCCAAAGCATTGCAATTTATCCGATTTTTTTCATACTTAGTTATTAAACCCTATTTATCAAGTTACCCCAATTATGAATTCTTAAAATGTTTTTTTTTAACTTTGAACGTAATAAAAGCAGAATTAGTTACTTTAGTTTTGGAAATATTGGCTCTGAATTTTTAAATTATAACTCTGTTTAAAAGTTATATGATGTTAGTATTAACATTGTTAAAATATCGATTGTAAGTGCTTAATCTTTTTTCGATTTATATGTTTTTAAACTAAGAAAAATCAACATACAATTCAAACAATAAACTTACGCTGGAACCTTAAAATGCAATCATTAATATTTTTTTTTATTTGTTGACCGTTAAAAGAACTTACGATCTTGAAAGTTCTCTGCAATCCAAGTATTGAAGTCTAGTTCTACAGAATCAGTTAGCCACGTTGGTTGCGAGGCTTCTTTCACTTCTCTGGTAGACTTTCTACTTGGGAATCTTAGTATACGCTGACCTTCATTTTGTACCTGACCCACTTCGAGTACTGAAAAATAAATAAAAAAATATTGCTAATTAAATTTGTAAGGCTGTTTTCAGTTTTTAATATTAAATTATCCTATTGTGATACAACAACAAAAGAAAGCAAACGGTGCTTAAATAAATAAATAAATATTCCTTCAGATCCACAAGTTAAACTTTTTTTCATTTATAAATTACTTTTGCAATAATTATTAATAATTTTAAATCAATACAATATTAACATTTAAGAAATAAGTTAAAAGTTTGTTTTTCAAAAATCAAATTTTAAATCCAAATGGCACTTACAATGATTAAAGGAATATTCAAATTTTTTTTTCGGAAGATCATATGAATTACTAAACAAAACATGCAATATTTTTAAAACTAGCAAAGCTGATAAAATAAAAAGCTAATAGAAAGTTTGATTTTATGAATTTATATACAATTGCTCATACAGTAATTGTAAATAATACGAATTTTATTTCATACTTACCCAGAGCAGATCGTTGGAACATATGAAAAGTGTCCCCTGTTACAGCTGCTCCGTGTAATAAACCATGGCTGAGGATTTGTTGATGAAGTTTAATTACGTGCTGCAAATCAAATTTTAGCCTAAATTAATAGCAGATCTACTATAATAAATTACAGTAATCTACTCATCATTTCTATAATGTACTCATTTAAAATTTAACGTACTAAATATTGTGTTTTTAAATGGCTTAAATGAAGTACTGTATCAAAACTATGTACACGAACATATAAGTACATGTTTCATTTTTACAAATAGTGCCGATCCATTTAAACCACTTTGAAGAGCTATCGTTGATTTTCTTTTTTAACTAATACGTTTCTCAGCATTTAAAGTAGAAAAATAGAAACAAATTCAATTTCTTTAATTAAAGAATAAGATTGTTTCAAAATTTATAGAATTTTCTGTTGTTGCTATTTTGTATTCTATTTTTAATAATGTATCTTATTTGTTTATTAAAGCAACTGAGTTTATTTTGAAGTGCGCTGCAAATGTATATTCATTTGCATTTGCATTAAAATTTTAAGTTTGTTATTACACAAGTAATTATATTATATATTATACATTAATTTCAGTTTCTCTATATACCCAGTAATAATATCTTTTCCCCAATATACAATTTAGTTTTTCAATATTTTTAATTTAGAAGCTTTAGACAATCAAATGTATTTTTGCTTTACTTAAATAATGCACTGAGAAATAACTAAATTTTACACAAATAAAGAAGGCAGGTTTGCTCGAAGCGCATACTTAATAAATTTCTAATTAACTTATTATATTTTCAAAACGCTTATTTGTAACTCAACTTGTCCAAATAAAACTCAAAAGCTTTAAAATTTTTGCTTACCCTTGCAGTGGTTTCACAGAAATATGATTTTGCGCATTTAAAGAAGCATGATAATTCTTCTGCAATATGATCAAAATAATTATTTAAAAGTCAGAATTGCGTTGCATAGAAAAATTTATTAGAAGTATTATGTTTATTATGTAAAGCTCTTTATATTTTTTTTAGTTGTTGATAATTTGCTGTGTGAAAGCATAAAATAAATTAAATGCAAAATATGAATAAGTTATTTTATGTTAATTAAGCAAATACAAAATTGAAAAGAAATATGCACAACATTAAAAAAAATTACGGATTTTTTACTGCAAGGGTAAGCATGAAAGTATAAATTGTATTTTTCAGAAGATTAGTTATGAAACCTAGATCTCGCATCATTTTGTAAATTCAATACAGCATTCTTATAAGAATATTTATGATATTAGCCTACTGAGTTTTTAATAAATTTAAATTATTACATAAAGAAAACAAATTGCTCCTTACTTACGGACTGCTTCTGAATCAGCTGTGGTGAATCCAAAAGGAAGGAAACGATGTCCAAAAAAATCTGAAATATTGAGGTAGAAATTTTTTTTTTACTCATTTAAGGTTGTATTCATCACATTCTTAACTACAACATAAATTTCTTATGCCAGATTGATAAAGAGCTGACCTCATTTACTGAAATAATTTACAAAGATGAAAAGTATAAACTGGGCCACACTGGGTAGAACTACCAGTTGTCTAGTTTATAGCACTCAGGGAAACTGAACTTAATTCGTCATAAAACACAAATCATTACTAAAAATGTTCGATGCAGTCAGCTTCTTCAGCCAGGCTCTTGTTTTAATTTTCATTCTCACTTTGGTTCTCCCCATCGATATTTTTAGCAATACGTTTACATATTTGTGGTGTTAGGCTTTTAAAATAACAAACACAATGACCTGTCTTGAATTTTTCAACTAGTTGTCTAAACAGATTATGTTAATCTTAAATTTCACCTAATTTGGAAAGTCTACACTAAATAGACGAATTACTTTTGAAATAAATTTCAGCAATTTAAATACACTGTAGACGGAGGAAAAAAGTTTAGTAAAGCTATTGCTCTGCATGGTAATGACATTTCTAGTAAAAAAGAAAAATCATAATTCTGTATAATAGAATCAACAGTGCATTTGATAATTTTTCTGTTTATATGGTATTAGAATCGTTGGATATTATGGTTTTACGTATTATTTCTGATAATCACACATTTTGTAAAAATTATAAAACTGAAAATTAAATTTAACCAAATAAATAGTTTTCGCGCCATGCTTTAGATATCCTGATAAAATTACCATGTTCTACCACGCATACCGAATCCTATTCCATATTATCAATATACTAAATATCATTAATTGTACCAAAATTATAAGCAAAAATTACCGAACATTTTGGTGTTTCCATGGAGCCAGAAATACGGCACAGTAATTCAATTTTGGTATCATACAAAAAGCAAGATTGTATATATATTGAATATATTTGTTGAATATATATATATATATATATATATATATATATATATATGCGTGTGTGTGTGTGTGCAAATAAAACTAGACTGAGTTTAATCAACATGGAGAGGGAAGCCGTGAATCTTCGTGTATAATCCAACAACAAATAGAACGTTCCATTTTAACACTGGGATTATTTTGTATCAGCGCCATCGTTCATAAGTCTAATATCTATATAACATATGGTTTAAAACTAAGTAAACTTTAATACTTCTTTCAATTCATATAATTAATAACGCTAAAAATCTATTGTTTGCATTTATTCTAATATCCTATTTATTATTCGACTAAATAATTATCTTTTATTTGTCGAACATTCGATAGCTTTTTTGTAATTTTTGGCGAACACTAGATAATTCTTTCTTTTCCTTCAATTTTTACGAAACTTGTTTTCATAAAAGAGTATTTTTCCATAGCAGAAAAAATAAAACAATAGAAAATAGTATATTTTTTTACATGACTTTTTAGACTCATAGTCTATCCTTTCATTTGGTGAGAGACCTTCCAAATTGTTCTTTATTTCTAATTTATCAACAATGAAACGGTTATTTAAAAAAATAAGACTCATTTTATCTATTTAGTACTTATTCAACTAGCATTTATCTTTATTAAAATGTTTTACACGTATCTTACTTGAGAATTGTTCTTGAATTGAATTTCATCATTTTTTCCATGCTTCCTTTGATAATCATGCAGATCTTCAAGCAAATCAACCACTGGTTCTCCTTCAGCAATATGGAAACGGTCCCTCATATTCCACAAATAAGCCTTCAGCTCTTGTAATAAAGTACCAACCTCTGTGATAAGGTATCCCATTCTCAAACTCTCGAACTGTGAGGGAAACGTAAATAAGAAAGATAAAAATGTGAAGTACCTTGCATATGCATCTTCTTTGAACAGAGCATGCGAAATCGATCACATCTGTCTCTTAAAGATATATTTCGAATACTCGAAGATGTTAAAGAATCATTATAATATATTGTTTGCTTTAATTTGAAATATTATCTTTAAAAATGGAACTTCTTTATTTAGCAATTCTGCTTTTTTAAATGCCTAGAATAAAAAAATATTTAAATAAAAATATTAATTTATTATTTCTATTTATACGTTTTTATCACATAGGCTGCGTTTGGAAATCTAAAGGACAAAGTAAACCGCACAACACCAGGGCTAAGAAAAACTGAAAACTTTTATATACCCTGATGTAATTGTTATCACGAATTAAACTTTTAGATGCCTAAAAATGTTTTTATACTGCGTATTACGTAATTATATAAATTTATCTATCATTAATCTATTGAGAAAACTATAATTTATTTTGCGTTTTCATGGAATCCCCCCAAAAAATAGTTTATATAACCAGACAAATTTTTATTGAAATGTACATAATATGTCATTTGAAATTTAAAGCAAATAAAAAAAATATGTTAACATAGGCAAAGCACTGCATTTGTTTTTCCTTTTTTTTCAAATTTTACTACCACGCATTTAAACTCACTGATTTTTAAAGACACTGTGGGTGCGGAGTTATCGACCATGCGAACCTTCATCTATCAAATAGTACTTCTTGATTGAATCAAGTTAGCATGTCTTATATACCAGTGAATTGATGTTTAATATTCGTAGTGGTAGTTACGCAACAATACTCCCACAGCAGAATTTTATCAGGGATAGAATTCGATGAACGGATCTCACTAGTTGCTGTACTTGTGAAAGACCGGGAGAGCTGCAATTAATGTCACCAGATTTTTTGAGTACTGAATGTGAGAGGTGTATTAACTTCACAGTTGTGTTCGCTCCTCTGTTGTCTTTAGCAGTCGAGTGTATGCAGGCTGACGTTGTGTATGATCGAGACGAGACTGAGTAGCAACGGCGTGAGGAGCTTAATTATGTCGCACTCACAAGAAGCAAGTCAACTTTTCAATGTGGATCATCCAGCGAAGTAGGCGTTACTGCGTGTTCAAACCACGTCCGAAGGTCACCAATGTGGGGGCGGAGTTATCGACCATGCCAACCTTCATCTATCAAAAGGTACCTCGTGATTGAATCAAGTTACCATGTCTTATATACCAGCGAATTTGTGTTTAATATTCGTAGTGGTAGTTACGCCACAACACAAATGCATAATCATTATTCTATCCAAGATTATTTCTTTCTAAAATTACAAAGGTTGTGTTTTCGATTTTGATATGAAAATATAGACAGTAAATAAAATATAAGTAGATTAATTTAATAAATATCAGTTAAGACAGTCTTTAAAAAAACTTTTCGAATTGTGTGTTAACGTAAGATAAAATAAACTGACCATAAAAATCTCCATAAGTGTACTTTTAATTTTCCTGATTTTTTTTTATAAAACCAGTTAGTATTGTTAAGTATTAAAAAAGCTTTGGATATTTATGTTCCTACTTTAATAAACTCTGTAATAAAATAAAATAATAAAATAAAAGAAAACATATTCTCTTCAACAAATTTCCATCGCATTACTCAAAGGAGTCCTTAAATCGAATGTGATAACATTCCTGATGTTGGCTGTCATCAGTAAAATATAAATGTTGGGAAAGATTTTCAAATAGAGAAAAAAGAACCACACAATTTGAATTGGCGTGCATGGGTTTAGCACTAGTGGTTTATAATATATAGTTCTTCGGGGACTCATAAAAGTAAGACGTGTTTAATTTTCTTCTTTAAACTGCTTCCATTCAGAAAATAAATGTTTGCATTTCAAGTGAATTTCGGAGAAATATGCAAAGAGAAATTTCTTTCTGCAAACATTACCCCGAAAAATGAAACATTTATTGACATTCAGCGGATGTTTTGAAATATTTTCATTCAAGATTAAAAAAACTAAACTGTAGACTGAATATAATTTATTTATTATATTTGGTTCAATTTAAAAATAAAACAGGAAGGAAAATGTAATAGGACTAAAGTTATTGAAGCGTGTTTATGGTCGATATAAAAAAACCACAAGTATTTTAAAAATTAGTAAAAAAACAGTCATGTATAAATACAAAGATTGAAGAAAATTATTCAGATTAAATGATTCTGAATTCATGTATATGATAGAATTGTACACTTAAGAGCCAAAATAACTGGTATACCTGCCTAATATAGCGTAGGGCCCCCGCGAGCACGCAGAAGTGTTCGCGGGCGCCGGAGATAATTGACACCATGAATCCTGCAGGGTTGTCCATAAACCAGTGGGAGTAAGAGGGGGTGGGGATATCTTCTGAACATCACGTTGCAAGGCATCCCAAATATGTATGCGATGTCGTAGATTTGATTTTTTACCGGATTTCCGATACTCACGGTATACTCGTGAAATGGTCGTGCGTGAAAATCCATATTTCATTGTTATCTCGGAGATGCTATGTCCTATCTCATGTCCTATCTCCCGTGCGCCGACTATAACACCACGTTCAAACTCACTTAAATCTGTATAACCGTGCATTGTAGCAGCAGTAACCGATCTAAGAACTGTCCTAGACACTCGTTGTCTTATATACGCGTTGCCGATCGCATACTCATGCCTGTACTATTTTTTTGGCTCTCCAGTGTATAACGAAGGTAAGTTAGTGGGGAGAGTTTAAGGAAGAGCTTACTTTTCTCTTGGTGGGAAAAATTGAGGAAAGCAAAATATAAGAGCATTTGTTTTGGAAAGTATATCAAACTGATATACCATTCCAATGATTTGGTTCACTATGATAGAAAGCTCTACAAATAAGTTAGACTTGTATATATTTTTTTCCTACAATACGCTAAATAAGGTGACTTAATTCAAGCTCCTTTCTTATTTTTTTAAATTAATTTTCGTCAATTTGTCTGTCCTTGGTGTTTACTTGCTTTGTCTTCTTCTTCTAAACCGTTGGAATAAACTCAACTGATTCATTAACTCTCTTTTTATACAAACTAACTCTTGAAAAGAGACCCATTATTTTAATTACTGGAGTTACACTGCTAAATCAAGTTTATTAAATGTGTAAATTGTATTTATCGCTGTAGAGATGCAAATTTAAATCAAACCAGGAGACAAGATTTTAGTTATGAACCATAATCCGCTTCAGTGAGGGTATTTTAAGTGAAATTAGCCTAACTTAGCAATGCACAGGAAGAAAATTCCCCAAAAAACGTCTGCTTATTTTCTCGAAAAAAAAGAATTATGATCAATGAAAAATGAATAATTGAGAGTGATTTGCATTATAACAGTCTTCAAGGCAAGTTGGAGGATCATGTAAACTTCTCAGAATCGGAAACGTGTCTTCCTCAATGGGAAACAAAAGAACTGATGTTTCGAAAATCAAGTATTTTTATGGTTGAACAATAACCTCGTTTTAATAGAGTAATCAAAACCCGGATTCTCTAATAGGAAGCGAATGATCTATTCTCTTAAAAATTCTCTTAAAGTTCTTTTAAAAACGAAACTCTTTTCAAATTTAACTATAGCTTGCACCTTAGGAATCGAAATTTAGGTTTAATCAATGTAATGGTTTTCTAAATAAAATATAAATAATTCTTTATTAAGTGTTGCATATGTCTAATAACTCACGCTCAATTATAATGTCAATTGGTAAAGATGTAGGAAAAAATATAATTTTTTTTATTAATCTTTTTCAATAGATAAAATGTTACCTTATATTTTATGACTTGGAATTCTTGAGATAAGCATCTCGAATAGTCCGGTTCACTCCAAGCAGCTTCATTTTCTTTTTTGAGATTGCAAAGTCTTCGGACTTCACCTAAAATGTTGTATGGTATTTGTTTTAAAATATAAGAGCTGCACACAAACCTTTTTTTTTAAAATAATTCTTTGAAAGTGCTTTTATTTCATTTAAGATATTTGGAAAATAACTAAAAATTTGGTAAATAACTTGCTGAAGATCCCATCTTCCAAATTTAAAAGAGAATGAGGACACTGTTGATGAATATATATTTAATTTTACATAGCATAATTCTAAATAGAATTTAAAGGATTATTTCCGTTTTATTATGCTATTTGTATGATTGTCTTCTGTTATGTTTTTTGTATGATTTGTGTTCAAATCAATAATGAATTGTTATTTACTCCTCTTAAGAAATATGCACATGTGTGTTACGTATTCCTGTTTAATAAGTAAAGATAAACTTACTATTTCCATTAACTTGGTAAACTTGTTACTTTTTTAGTGATTTACGTAGTACAAATTTATAATTAATAGCCTTATTTGGAGATCTTACTTACAATACTTTTGGACCTGCTCATATTAGCTTTCGTTTAAATTTTTTAAACACAGTGAGAAGGGGATTTATAGCATTATTATAAAGGGTATATTCATAAAGATAATTTATAAAAAAATATATGAAATACATTTGTTTGACAGAAAAAAATACTGTACTTTAAAATAATACATTGGAAAAACTGTACCTGTGTATCCTTTTGGACAAAACTGAATATCTTCTGTGTTGGGTGCCGTTACTGTCCATTTGACTTCTAGATATTTTTCGGGAGAACATGTGGGGGTGTGCTCTATAAAATTTAAAAGTATAGATGCAGATAAACATAAATATATCATCAAACTGCATAAAAACTTTTTCGCAATAAAATAATACTTATGTAAAATAATTAAATCTGTCAAACTTATTAATAAAAATATATGCTTATAATTAACTTCGCAGAAGTTTTGCAGAAGAAAAAGGTTAGTTAAATAAGTCGAAAATAATCCACATAGAGAAAGCATAGCGTAAAAAAGCTAATTTTAAAAAATAGCATCTGTTACACTTTCTATACCGCATTTACTTTTGATTTAATTTCATTTAAATGTGGTAGGTAATATCCAAATTTCAAATTGAATTAATAATTTTATATTAAGTTTCAAACTTGATATTATTTTATTAAACAGCATATTAAATGACTAAATTCCTTTTAAAATAGCACCAATTCGTATTCTAAATTTAAAAACAAGAACATATATTGTATTGTACATGCATTGTATATCGAATTATCAATAAGATACAATTAAATTCTGATTTGCTATCGAAAAATTATTCTGAAAAATAACAAAATTTACATGTCTGAACTGCGTGAAATATTCAAATATATTTTTGATGCACAAACTTTTCGTGAAATGTTCTTAACAGAAAATTAAGTTGTACTTATATGTATTTCATTTATTTCAACATAGATGAATAACTTTATTTTACCTCTAGACATAAGCACAGTTACAGTGCTATCTTTTCTAACCGCTCCAGCAGTACTTGTTACAATGCATGTGTACGTAGCAGATGCTCGGGCTGGATGTATAATAATACGGCTCCCTGCCGGGTACAAATCTTCCACCATTTCTGGTTCAACAGATGGATTTAAGATGCGGCCATTTTTGAGCCAGTTGTACCCAAAGTTTCCAAACACATCTTCTTCAGACAAGCATGTAATAACAATTCGTTCACCTTGAGCAACAGTCGATGTCAAAGGTACCACTTGTGGTTCAGGAACTGATACTACTGAAACCATTATACTTTTATTCTGTATTGTTCCCCAGTCAGTTACCTGACACGTAAATTCACCTGAAAATGTAAAACAAACATGATTGAAGGCATGATGTAAAATAAACATGATACAAAATAAACATGATGATAAAAAATGAAACTTCCAGAATTTTATCGCCGTACTTACTTTAAATTAATGTGTTTAAATTTTATAACTAAACTATATTTCGTCTTAAAACGTAATTTAAATTGAATAATGGTTATTCGATATATCTTTCAAATAAAGGAAAGAAAACAGTTCAAATACAAATTTAATATTTTTTACAGAAATTGCATTCTCATAAAATTTTTATTCGAACAAGTAATCGCAATTTACCTTTACATATTGTTATTTCGATAGTAATCAATAAAAATATCAAAGGAATTTAAAAAATACCAGGATATATCAATTCTTAAATAAATTTAGTCATTTATGACTTTTTTTCTCCTTTTTCGTGTATAAATCATCTTAGGTGTTATAAATAATTTAAAAATGCATTTCAATTAAGCAATAAATTAAATATGCATATTTCTTAGAGTGTCCGATGATATACAATAACACAAACATATTTCTTAGAGTGTCCGATGTTATGTCCGAAGAATTATCAGTGTATTAATTGCAACTATTCCACTATTTATCTAATTTATCTATTTATTTTAATATCGCACCCACTATAATCAATGGTATAACACTCTACAAATCAATTTGATGTCTAAAATATTTATTGATGCTAAATCAATTTGAGAACAGTAAATTCAGTATTTCCTCCTAATGAAATGAATAGTTTGTGACAAAAAATTTTGTATGACATTAAAATCAATAAAATCTTGAACCAAACAAGTTTTTTCTTCTATTTTGTTGTTTCACGTGTATTAAATGTTTGCAATTTTGTTTTACTTCTGTTTTACTTTCAGATTACAATGGGACGCACAATTTCTATTTATTTATATATTTTTTTACATTTATACAAATTCTTGATCATGCCTAATTCGGGTGTGGGAATTTTGAATCTGAAATAAATTTTCCTCAAAAAGCTACAAGGTTTTAAAAATGACATTTTAAGTTTATTTTTTTGTTGAAATGTTCAAGTTTAAAAACATTATATGTAAAAGTGAGTTGCGTAAATGTTTCTACAAACTTCTAGGGGATAATGATTGGATTGGAACCTATGCCCGAAAATGTAATTGTACGCGGGTGGGGATGTTTTCCTGTTATGACCTGTTTTGAAGTACAAAAAGAAATAGTTGATAATAGGGAGGCGCCTTAAACGGCGTATGACATTTGCGGTCAAAGGTTTCTATTAAATTTTAGTCCTGATGATAAACCTTTACTCCTTTTATAACCTATTGCAACATTAACGTTTTCTTTTGTTATGTATACCGTCTTTAACCTATACAAATCGACTAAGAATAGACTAAAATTATCATTAAAAAAACTGTATTTTCGAGAGAGAAACCAATTGAAGATTTGAAATCAGCGATACTCAAGTAATTAGGATCTGTTAAAATATTGCAATTTTTTTTTATCCAGCATTATGATTGTGAATACCCCATAAATGATACAGTTAAGCATGCTGTCTTCAATATGCTTTCATACAGCCGAAATATTATGTTCTTAAAAATTACTATTTTAACACCAGATTCAGTCAAAAAATCGGTATATTAAAATGCAAAAGTTTTGATTTCAAACTAGTACATACCTGAATCATGGATCGTAGCTTTTTCAAAACCTAAAATAACAGTATACTGGTCTTTTGAGTTTTTTGGAACTAAGGTTGTCCACATATTGCGGTAGGATGTTTGAACATTGATAGCAGCCCCATCCTTGAACCATCGAACTTGCATAGCACTCGATCCCTGGGTAACACAAGCAAGATTCATCTCTGATCCTTCAACTACAGGCATTTTTTCGGATGCTTCAATGCTTTGTATGCTTAAAGCTGTTAAAGTATAATTATAAATCAATTGCAATCATTATGTTTTCTTATATTATAAATTTAAATAAAGTTATTTATTTTACTCAGAAAAAATATTTCCCATATATATATATATATATATATATATCAGACAAAACCGTATCTGCATCAAAAGTTTTAAAANTTTACCGAAGAACATTTGTAAAGACGTTTGGTAAACTTAAGAATACAAAATGGATTTATTATCATGCTGTTTGATAGTAACTATGATAAAATATGTTAATTATATCATGATACCTTAGAGCATGGCATAAAAATAATTTATTTGGTCAAATTTACCTTCGATTTTTGTCTTTTTATTACTCGTGTGGTAATTAGAATTTAAAAAAAAAAAGTTTTTCCAGTTAACCGTTACCCTGCGAAATTAACAAAGAATACAGTCTATTTTACTTTTGTTTAACAGAATTATGTTTTCATTAACTAAAACTGTCATGACCATAAAAATATGGTAATTTTACCGGGATTTCTTTTCTCTCCATAGCTTTATAAAATATATATATATTCCTCTTTTTTTTAAAAATGTATGCTTTTTCCAATTCTTAATTTTGCCTATATTATTGTATTATTGATAGAAATAGGAATAAAATATTAACATCGTGATGACAGCAGGAATAGTAAGAAATCAAATAAAAATGAACAACTCTTCGCAATTTTATCATCAATAGTTTATTTTTTGAAATAATTTGATTAATTGTATATGATTTTTTTTAAAATTAATATTAATCTTTCAGGATCTTAAGAAACAAGCTAAACTAAAAATAAACTTGTATAATTAAAACAGTAAAAAAGGGCAATTGCTTATGAATCTCGAAAATGCATTTTGGTGAAAGACATTGGAAACATATTACACTAACCTTGTACAAAATGGGATACTAAATTAAGATAATAACGGCTGGAAGGAATGAAGCTCTTTAAGTGAGAAATTTGTTTAACGTATACACCCGAAAAAGGTCTATACTTAATTTCCTTTTTAGAAATAATGGAGCATTTAGAAGAGAATTTCAATCGAGGATTGATGATGCTGGGAAAAACTTGTGGCATTATTGATCTTTTAAATGATCATCTATAGCACTTTTGTTTTTCCTTGGCTTCTTTAGAGTGCATGGTTAATGTTTTCTCGGAATTTAGGCAATCGAAAAAAAGTAATTGGTTTTTAAGGGATAATGAATTCTGAGGTTTCAAGATAGGAAAAAATATCTAATTATGGAAATATGTCTTCTCTTTAGATTGAAAGAATTTACTATATAAAGGATGTTGCATATATTTTAAACACAAATAATTTTGATATTTTACATGGATTCTTGTTTAGTCTTGATTTTGACTGAAAACTGTGCAACCTAACATATGATTTAAATGTAGTTTTAAGTTTCTTTTTACCTGATCAGTTATAAAGAAAACAATTTCTATTGTAAATGATCAACAATTTGCAACTTGTATACAATGGGAATGGTACTTAACGAGAAATTCTATGAACAGGAAAATGCTCGCAAAATCCTGTCATTCACTTAAAGTCAATTTCGGAAAGCGCAACAAATGTAATGTCTTAAAAAAACATCTCGGGTGGATTGATTCCAGATAATATTTGATGAGAAAGAAAAATGGATTTAATACACGCTTTCTTAGAAATTAGATAATTTATGAAATTCAATTGCATCCAGAATCAAAAGGAATTCTAAGGATTCAGAATAGAAAGAAGGAAAAAAAATTATGGATATATGTCTGCAATTTAAATTAAATGAATTAATTTAAAACAGGAAAGGAGGTTTAAAATGTTTTGATAAAAAGAATTTATTTTTCAATAGAAAGATTCCTTTTAGATTTCTTTTTTTAAAAAAAGGATACATGGCAATATAAAATTTTTGTAAACCTCATTTTGAGAGAAAACTTTACTTTAAGCGTAATTGGGAAATTGTATGCATTTTTACCGAATAAATTATCAAAATAACAGTGTTATTTGGAATTAAATAAAAAAGTGGGAAACAGAAAAATGCGGAATCCAGTTGTTCGCGAAATGCAAATATTTTGTTAGTACATTTACCGAAGAACATTTGTAAAGACGTTTGGTAAACTTAAGAATACAAAATGGATTTATTATCATGCTGTTTGATAGTAACTATGATAAAATATGTTAATTATATCATGATACCTTAGAGCATGGCATAAAAATAATTTATTTGGTCAAATTTACCTTCGATTTTTGTCTTTTTATTACTCGTGTGGTAATTAGAATTTAAAAAAAAAAAGTTTTTCCAGTTAACCGTTACCCTGCGAAATTAACAAAGAATACAGTCTATTTTACTTTTGTTTAACAGAATTATGTTTTCATTAACTAAAACTGTCATGACCATAAAAATATGGTAATTTTACCGGGATTTCTTTTCTCTCCATAGCTTTATAAAGAGTATTTTTCTATATCTAACTGTATTGATGGTTATATCCTTTTTATAGTCCACAACATTTAAAAAATGCTCAACATTTTGTTTAACCAAATTAGTGTTATTAAGTTTTTTCTTCGAAATCAATCCCGATAGTTCTTTTCCTTTTTAAATCACTTTTTTGTTATTTTGAATGTTATTCCCTACTTTCATAATGTTTTTATATTCTTAAGTAGCAAGTTATTGCCTGTACATGCTTAAGTAAGAAGTTTGTAATGTTTTCATATTCTTAAGTAGAAAAATAAAAATTTCTTTACTTGGTATAATACACTAGACTAGAGTACACTTTAATGCATTTAAAACAACTTAAAAAAGTAAATACTTCTTCTGTTAATTCCAGTATATCGTTAAATACTGAATCATCATTGTATGTGATATTGTATGTGAATCGTCATTGTATGCGTTCGTATAGTATGTGATTTTAACTTTCTGTAGTTTAAAAACTATGGCTTGAATCATTAAAGAATTTACGAACGAGAAAATTTTTTTGATATTTAAAATGTTCCAGCTAAGAAATAATAATAAATTTCACACGAAAACAATTATTATAATTTAAGCTAGCGTTATGTAAAACAAATTTATAGACAAGTGTTGCATTATCTGCAGATTTCAATGTACTGAAAAAGATCNATATATATATATATATATATATGCAAGTGAAACATGCACACAAAAACTATTCTTTTTATTTTTATCGATTCTAATTTATAAGCAATGTAAAAGCAAACTGTAGCAGTTATATCTTACATATATTATTTTATCTGACTTTAAGTTACTCAAAATTAATAATTTTTTTATTGAAAAAAAATAAAAATATATGTTACGAAGAGCATAAGTCTGAAAGCAAAAATTACGAACAACATTATTACTAGCAGAATTCATCAGAGAAATTTCTTTTTGTCTTTTTAATCAATAAAAGAAGCAAATAGTTTATTTCTATCTTAACTGTAGTTTTAATAAAATTACGACCTCGGCTAGATCACAACAAAAACCAATTCATACAAATGACTTTCAGAAGCACATTCTGCAATTTGTTTGGAAAAGATCTACAGTTCATATTTCAAAGTTTGCCTATAATTTTTTTTATCAAACTATCAAATCTAACCATACAAATGAAAGCAAATATCTTTCACATTATACTGTTTTCACTTTGTTCAAACCGCACAATTAAATTACAATAACAATGTCTTGATTGTAAAGGAATTCCTTCAGTAAAAAAAAGTACTTAACGAGTTCACACAAGAGTAGAGTTCTTCATTTTCTTTAAGAGAAAATAGAACATTAGGAAGGAAATTTCAATCGGAGATTGATGATCTAGAAAGAATCTTGCGGCGTTATTGATCTTTAAAAGATTATCTCTAGTACTTTTATTTCTCTTGGCTGCCTTTAAAGTGTATGGTTAACGTTATCCTGAAATGTCGGCAATCAATAAAATGTAATTACTTTTAAAGGGAATATACATTTTGTGGTTGAAAAAGAACAACAATCTGTAATTATGAAAAGTTGTTTTCAGAGAAAATTGAAAATGTGCATATAACGTAATATTTAAAGTCCTATTAATTTTTTAAACAAACTATCGAAATCATTTCATTTTTAAGGATTTATATAGCTATAAATCTATTCCTTATTAAATATTTTTGTTTCTGTAAATTATAAATTTTATCCGTTCCTTAGAGCTCAAAAAAATATGCACGTATTTGTTGCATTGTTGCAATTACTTGATCTATTTTGTGTGTGAGGGTTTTAAATCTTAAACTCGCCTTGCATCTACAGATTTTTTAATCGCAATTTCGGCCTATTTTTGTCGTAAGTTTAAAAACGTTATATTTAACTGAGGATTCAGTAACTCTTATGACAAACTTCCGGAGGAGCATATAATCAGGATAAAAATTTCATAGGAACCAATAAATCCCTGTATTCAAGAAATGTAATCGTATGTGGCTAGGGGCGCTTATCTTTTATGAACTGTTAAGAAGCACAAGAAAAAACAGTTTGGTATAGGAAAGCCACCTTGAAGACACTTTGTAGGTTCCTAGAAAATTTTAATCTTGATGATGCGCCCTAACTCCCCTAGAAGTTCGTCTTAAGATTTACACAACCCCCTGTTAGATATCGAGTTTTCAAACTTGTATATTTCGACGAAAAAAAATCACACTGAAAATATCAATTTTAAAGACAGAGAGAGAACCCGACGGATTTGAAATCAGCATCTAAGATCTATTTAAAAATCTCATGTAACAGAAAAAAAAGCTCCTCAGTGATATTTAAGGACAATTGGGTATGGCAGAGAAAAGCCGTGACAAAATGCTATTTTATTTTGTAATATGTATTTGACAACTGACAATAAAATTTTATAAAATCCATTTTTGCTCTAAGTCTCTACATTTTTTTTAAAAAAAAGCACTCTTACCTGGCTCCCATTCGAAGCTTATGTAGTTTCTATCTACGGCATACTTTCCTATGGATTTAAATTTTAAAGCTTCTTCCATTATACTCTTTGCTTGATGGCTATCCTCTTTCTCTCCAAAGAAATGAAACTGGACAACAGCCCCTGGTCTATAAAAGAGAAAAATTAAAACTATCATCGAATAATATGAAATATGAACATTAAATCTATTTAGAAAAAAAAAATTGCGAATAGATCGAATTAAAAGTTTTAAATGCCTAAAATACACTACATTAACTAAAACACAATCTTTTTATAACTTTTATAATCTTTTTATAACACAGTACCTTTGCAACAATTTTTTTTTAAATAAAGGTGTAATCATTCATTTTGTGTATGCTTTACATGCTCATTTAACTTATAATCAATAATTTATCCTCAAAAAATAATTAAGTTTGCTTAATTTTTTAAAATTTAAAAAAAAATTTGAAAAAAAAATCAAAATTTTAAATTTTTAAGGCTTTTTTATTTTAATATAATTTCAAAAAAATCTTTTTTAGTACTTACAATATTCATCTTAACAATTTTGTGCATTAATTTACTGACATATCAATTAAAATATTTTTTATAGATTATTTTGTAAAAAAGTAGAAAAAAAAGTAAAAAATTCTTATTAGGTATATATAACATGCTGTACAAATTATGGTACCTCATAAAATGATAATTCCATGCATAGTTTAAATAAGTGCATTATACTTGGGGTAAAAAAATTTATTTCAAAGCTTTATCTTAAATTAAAAAAAATTCCTTAGGGATTTAGTTAAGATTAAAACACAAAATTATCATCTATGAGAATAAACATTTTAAAGTCTGTCTGATGTGCAAATTTCTGTATTAGGACAATCTAAAATCATTCATAACTTTTTTAAAAACGTTGATAGAGAGATGATTTCGATTTTCAGTGCATCTGAAATAGTTAGAAGTTTTATTATAACCTATAAAATGTTTTCGATATTTTGGTCATTTGTTGCGTACTGTGAAACCTTAAGAAGTTTCAAAACACGATTGAAGTATTCAATAAAAAAACATTTTGTAGTTGCGAAGTTTATTTTATTACAATAAAAGACAATTAGCAAAGTGTACTTTTGTCAGAGCACGTTGAAGCTTTACATCTTTTGATTTTTTGTGAAACTGTGTGTGACATTTGAGTAAGTTTGCTAAACTGATTACCAACTAGAACATAAACTATATTAAACCGATTTGAACATAAACTTCAGACATTCTTGAATATATACCAACTTGAACATAGATTTACAATTTAAGATCATGAATTGTAACAGCTAATTAACACCATATTTTAGTTCAAATTTTCCGACGTTGAAAGAATTCTTCTGATTAAGTAGTAATCTCAATTGATTAAAAACATCTACGCTAAATGAATAGCAATTTTTAAAAATTACAATGGAAAAGTTTAACTCTCCTTTTGGATGGCCCTAAGAAATACACAAGGGCATAAATATTTTTTACACTTATGTCAGTTCTATCATTAAATGACTTACGCGCCAATAGCTCGATATATTTTCTTATGCTCATATGGTTTACTGAATTTAATTCAAAATCCTGATATGATTCAGGGAAAAAAACTCTGAAGATGCCGAAAAATATTTTAAGGAAAAATTTAGTAAGAGCAGGCAATCAATAATAAGTATCAGGAATTTCCGCTATCCATCAAAATGTCGGAAACAACGCCTCTCTTTAATCCCGTCTTCCCTTTTCTGATCCAACTCCACTTTTCCCGACAGCGTTTTGATACAGCTTTTAGTAAAACTAAAATAATAACAGAAGGAATTTATACTATACTGTAAAATCTTGTGTACATGAGTTTACTTCTTATAAGAAAAAATGCAAGCATCATAAAGTAGCAAGTGTATTGAAGTGTTAGGAAAAGTAATTTATTGGTAATACTATATTTTGCTATTAATTAATTGCCTTCCATTATTATAATTATGTCAAATATTAGAAAGATCTTATTATAGTAATGAATCTTACAAGCACTATATATTTCTCTCTAGGTCTTAATAATGGATATCCTAATATTTGGATATCCTAATTATGTAATCTCTATTCAGACATTATTCGCTTAGAAAATCTTAAAAGCAAAGTCTACCAAAAATGGAAAGCAGAATGACAAATTTTAGTTGCTTTCGCATGAATTCTAATAATTTTCGACAAGTTTTTCGCTTCGTTACAATATTTGAATCAAAGTTCAAACGCTGTTATTTTTCATTCATTCAAACAATATATAT